GCTACCTATGTCCACAGAAGCGTTCCCTTGTGTCCGTCTTTATGCAGTAAATGATCTCAAAAGTCATTCGACTAATGGCAGTAAGAGATCTCTGCTAAGCCTAGTATTGGGAATTGTTGGATTTTTGAATTGAGTGTCATGGAGGTATCCTAATGAAGTATAGCTACACATTTCCTATAGTATACACACATAGATGAGAGGGAATACGAGATCTGTATGTATCGAATCTCCAAACGACAGACGAAGATTAGAGTGAAAAATGTATCTGTAAATTTCGGTAAAGTTCTCAATGTTCTTATGCAGGACACCAAATCAAAAGTTACCAAACTAGAGGGCGATAGCATTGCAGCTGAATAGAGTAGAGGATAAATCCACATATATTCGCCTAACTGTTGCGAGTCTTAAAGGAAGCGATCTGAAAGCCAACATGAAGGAGATGATCTTATGAGTGGCTAGACTAAGAGACTTACAGAGACCAATCAAATAAGAGTCCCCCATTAGCAATAATCTCGCTCGCTACGAAATGCATCGGACTCTATAGAATTGAGCGCATGAAAGATCTATGCATAAAGCAACTCCCTTATAAAGTATTCCATTTAACATATGTTGCTGACGGTACAGCAGTACGGCGGAACCGTTTCCTTCCCCTTTTCGATCTCTTCTGTTGGCATAGCCCGGGACTTGGGCTTAGTTGGCCGAGCGAAGGCGAAAGAGCACCGTGAGATGGCATATTTGTGCCTTTCACGTTTTCACGTCAACTGGCTCACTCTCCTATTTGGTTTGCATATTTTGGTTGCCCAGGGCATGTGCGAGTCGCTTTTAACACGCTTACGTGCTTTTTTGATGTTTCTGCGAGTTTCTGCTGAAAAATGCCAGCACGTGTTTTGTTTAGCCAGCATGCAAAGGGCTGTATCCTTGCCGGCATATCGTAGTTTAGCCCGCTGGCTGCTTAATGAAAGCTGCGATGGGGACTAAAACAGGAAGGCTAACCAAACATGGTCAAAGTGATTCAATTAGCGGGCAGCTTGGGCGCAGCCTGGGCGCAGCTGCACTTGCAAAGGACTCTCTCGAACAGCGAACAGTTATTTCATTGCTGGCGGAAAACAAAAATGAAATGAAAACTGAAAAAACAGCGTAGGACATGACAGGAGAGCGTAAAAAATACACTGTCTGGCAAAAATGTTAATTACTGAAACCGAATTATGTTTATGCATATTTCATGCGTTTAATGAATTTACAAAACTTCAGCTCCTCCTGTCGGCTGTCGCCTGTCCGCGCGCCCACGCGGGAATCTCAGTCATGTCAGCGTCGAGTCCTGAGCAAGGCAAGGCAAGGCAAGGCAAGGCAGCTGCTTACTCAGTTGTCGCTAAGTTGTTGGTGCCTGTTGCTCAAACAAGTTGGCTGCATGTCTTCTCCTCCCTTCCTCCCTCTCCCTCTCCCTCCCCTCTTTCCCTTTCCCCCAGTCACTGTCAAGTGTGTTGTCACAGTTTTCGGGCGCTGCATAAGCTTAGCTCATTTATGGAGTTCTTTGAGGCAGATGCTTTTGCCAAGCACCCAAAGCACAACCCAGTTCCCGCTCACAATTGCAATCTGCTTTAAAGATTTCTCCGAACTGGCAAGAACTTTGCAGTGGGTTCTTTGGTGCAAAATATTAAACTTACCAAGAAGACGGCAGAGACTTTGGCTGTATTCCAGAACTTTAGATGCCATAAATAGCTAAGTGAACTTTTATTATTCAAGTTTTCATTTTAGCTGAAGCAAGAGCTGCATAAAGAGCTGGGAACTGCTGAACTAGTGTGACATACTCTGGATATTAGAATATAAAGTCCAGGGCTTCATATTCAGTTCTTATAATAAAGATGATGTTTATCGATCCTAATCGATTTTCAACTGTTGAGAATCACATTGCATTTTTATTAGTTCTATGTGTTTCTCTGATTGAATGGACAATTTCTCAGCTCTGAAGTCTGAATTCAATTCAAGCGAACTGAAATCAAAGTATGCCTTGAAAGCCATAGAGTATTCTTTACATTGTCCTTATTCAATCAGCATGTGAAACACTTTTATGGCAGCTATTGTTGCTATTGTACTTGAGTTTGTTATTTGTTATTTGCAAACTTGATAGAGAAATCATTGCGTTTGCTACTTATAGAAATTTGCTTAAAACTCGAAGAGAAATCATTCAAAAGATGATATGATAAATTACATGAAAACATTTTTATACTCGTTCACGGAGCGAAAAGGGAATATTGGCTTTGTGTTCTGTCTTGTGCTCATCATGCATCCGTCTGTCCACCCGTCCGTCTGTGCGTCTCTTTATCCATCTGTCTGTTCTTCCGTCAGTCTATTCGCCTGTCCGTCTGTCCGTCCGTCTTTCACAGGTTCAGTGTTGCAAACTGCAGAAATTATTGACCTTCTCATTGATTTACCCGTGGATAACAAATATGTATATAATCCTTAGATCAACTTGAAATTAATTAATTTCAATTTGCAGCATAGCTTTTATTTGAAAAACCATTGAAGGGAAAACTAGATACACCAAAACTTTGGTTCTTCAATGCCACTTCAATAATACAATTCAAGCGAACTTTAATAAATATGTTTTTTCTTTTCATTTTAAGTATTTTAATAATGCTGCTCAAAATAAGGAACTTTTCCGTGGTCTGTACAATAGACTACTACTACTATTCAAATAGTTGAACTAACTGATTTTTTGGAAACCAAGTAAATTACTTATTAATTTAACTTTTAGTTTTGGTACACATTGGAAAATTGAAATTGAAAATTTAG